GCACCAAGCTACGAACTCATCAAAGAGACAAGTGAAGTCAATCCCTAGACCAACGTTCTTCCGGCGTTCGTCTAAGTCGCCCTGAAAACAGGACCAAATTGCGAGAATGAGGTCAACCTACTTCTTTAAATCGACCATACCGGGGGCCACACCATATTTGTCTTCATATCTTTGATTAAATATCTAAAGCTGGGCCCCTTTCCAGGCTTGCAGCCGTTCGTATGAGGTTTATTGCTTCAACCTTCAATTTTTATATCAAAAGTCTGCTTATAGAAGATATTCTCGAGCCTAGGAAGCATAAGAAAACTTCTCAAGTCAGGGAGAAATCAACGAGACCAATTTAAAATAATTTAGATGCCATATATTTGCTTAAAATAGTAAAAAAAAGGCACTAGATTAAATTTTAATAAGCTTTCATCTTAATATTAAAAGATGGCTCATCAAATTCATCTTATTCGAACTGTCGGCAGTGTGACGTGCCCAAAACTAGAGTTTGTATGGGTGCCCAAGGCATCTTGTCTATAAAACTGTATAAATCAAAGTGCAGTCAGACAGGTTTATTTGCATGTGGAAACGATATATTGGTCTGTTCAGATTGATCTATGCTCTCTTACCTGCATCGAAAAGATCGACTACTTCAGATCGCCACGGGTTCCATAGACTTCATCTTAGTCATACAAAATTTGCTTCCTCACTTGCCACTCTGTGCCTTACTAGTCACAAATTGAAAAGCTAATTTCGATTTATAGAAGTGGTTTGACCTCGTTGTCGCAACTTGGTCTTGACGTCAGGGAGACTATGTAGAACGCACCTAGTCCGAAGTCGTCTGCCATGGTAATTTTCATGATTCCCAGAATCTGACAGTGGACTTGATACATTCTAAAACGTTTCGCCGGCATCGTAGTTGGCATCATCAGTGAGCTTTGCCATTCTCCGCACCAAGCTACGAACTCGTCAGAGACAAGTGAAGTCATTCCCTCATCAAATGTTCTGCCAAAAACGGTTACACTATCATTCCTCTTTCTGTACTAGTTTATCTATCTACTCTTTATCCTCTTATCCCAATGCCGCACTATTACAACTTCTCACTTGTTTACATTTCACTCGTCAAAATGTGTGCACTTTTGTGA